CTACGGCGCCCCGTCTACGGCCTGCGCCAGGCTCCCCGTGAGTGGCACGACACTCTCCGTGCTACCCTTGCTGACCTGCATTTCTTTCCGTCTTCCGCAGACCCTTCACTCTTCGTTCGTGCTGGCCAGACTCCGTTCTACATCCTTGTTTACGTCGACGACCTGGTCTTTGCCACGGCAGACAGGGATGCACTGGCCTCCGTGAAGGCAGAGCTGCTGAAGAGACACACCTGCACTGACCTTGGAGAACTGCGCCGTTACCTTGGCTTGCAGATCTCCAGGGACAGAGCTGCGCGCACCATCACCCTGACTCAGTCACACTTGGTGCGCCAGGTCCTTCAGAGGTTCAGCCTTCAGTTCTCCTCTGCACAGCCCACCCCTCTGCCTGTAGACCACAGACTCTCCGCTCCAGTGTCTGAGGAGTTGGTAGAGCCCAGCGGCCCCTACGCAGAGCTGGTGGGTTGCCTCATGTACCTGATGACTTGCACTCGCCCAGATCTCGCATACCCTCTCAGCATCCTGGCGCGCTTTGTGGCCACAGGCAGACACCGACCGCAGCACTGGTTTGCCGCTAAGAGGGTTCTGCGTTATCTTGCTAGTACATCGGGCATGGGGTTAGTGCTAGGAGGACGCAGGCCAGTGGTCCTTACTGGACACACAGACGCTTCGTGGGCAGACGACGCTGAGACACTCAGGTCTACCCAGGGCTACTGCTTCAGCCTTGGCTCAGGTGCCGTCTCGTGGAGAGCTACTTGCTCCTCGTCTGTTGCGCAGTCCAGCTGTGAGGCTGAGATTTACGCTGGTGCCATGGCGGCACAGGAGCTCCGCTGGCTGACCTTCTTGCTCACTGACTTAGGTGAGCGGCCTAGCTCTGCCGTTGGCTGACAACAGGGCCATGATCCTCCTGTGTTAGGAGCCTCGACTCGAGGGCACAGCAAAGCACATCCAGCTGCGGTACTTCCTCCTGCGTGAGCTACAGCAGTGACGTCAGTCTCGCGTAGTACACTTGGCCTCAGGTGCCAACACGGCTGATATCTTTACGAAGGCGCTTGCGCCTAAAGATCATCAGCGGCACTGTGTACAGCTTGGTCTAGTTCCTGTAGCCTCTCACTTGCTAGGACCTTGACTTTGTACTGTCCTTTATACGTATACTCAGACTGGACTTGTGTCCTCTTCCAGTGGCTGGACTAGTAGTGCCGCCCTGGTCTTGTTCTTGCCTTGTCTGTACTCCTTCTGACTGGTCTCTCAGACCCTTGTCTCAGAGGTTGGACTAGTAGTGCCGCCCTGAGCTGCTTGTTTAGGGTATTCCCCTATGCAGTCTAGGGGGTGTGTGAAACATCTGTATTTGTCATGTTTGTATAGACTGTATAGGGTTACCTCTTAGAGGGTACAACACTTAGGTATATTTGTGTGTACTCTCACTTTACCATCAATTACAATTCCAATTTTGATAGAACAAGCCCTAACCACGCGGCAAGAATGCACAGATGGCCAAACCTGACGCGAGAGACAAGCAGTAGGGTTTCCTTTCCTGGTAGTCGTAAATGCTGCGATTTGTAGTGATGCATCTCGCGCTCCTGTCTTCCCAAAGATGTAGGTACCATACTACCGTATGCCAAGAGCGAAGAGCGCACCAAGAAATGACACGGTTGGGAAGGTCTATCAACCGTAAATCAGTTGTGGCTGCCTTTATATTGACTGACGTGGTCGACACACGGAGAACAAACATGAGGCCGGACTGGTTCACAACAGCAAGCCACACTGTATTGGGGGGAGGGGGGGAAGTGTTGTTGACCGTTGGATTGGATGGTACATGCAGCATGGAATGAAACAAGCATCCTTCATGAGCTGATATTGACATGGTCGAACATACGGAGAATTACCATAAGCCCGAACTGGTCCACAACAGCAAGCCTCACAGACCGGCGCAGAAAACTCTTGACTGCTGGATGGTGGGAGCGCTAGTGCCACAGCATCACTGCAACCACTAAAACCAGGACGCGACACCTGCACTGACTTTTGAGGCGCCTCATGCCTTGGCTGATCCACAGGGCAATCTGTGCGGTTTGCCGTGGTTGAACAGTTTTCCTGGTATGGGCCACCTGGACTTGAGCATACAGGAGACCCTTGTAGTGCCCCAGCAGGTGTAGCAGCCGGTTTGTGAGGCGCCTCAGCACACGGAGCAGGCTCTGCACACCCATGTGCATTGGTGATGCTGCTGCCTGTGTCCCCTGGCCTCCCACCGAGCTGAACAGCAGCGTTTTGAGGTGCGTCGGCGCATGAAGCGAACCCTGGGAAGCCACATGTGCTGCGGCTCTCCTTGTCAACCGGTGTTCCTGCAAGCTTGGCAACACGGGAAAGCCTGGAGGCATAGCAGAACCAGGGGGAGTAGGAAAGGATGACATCGCTGATTTTGCTTGCTCTGTGAGGCGAGGGAAGTATGAAGCACCACAAGGCAGGAAGAACATGGCACTAGAGGCGAGAGGGAACAGAGACAGTGCAAGAAGAGGGAGGAAGGATGGGTTTAAGTGAGAAGAAGACGTCCCTCGACGAATCGAACTGATTCAACGACTTTGGCGAAAGCCCACGCTCTCGAGTAAGGTGACGAACCAGGCCAGCATTGCTAAGAAGGAAGATGCAGCAATGCCGAAATATGAAACAGTTCATGTTGCGGATGCATTGCTCTGAGCTGAATTGCCGTTCCTAGCAATGCCAAAGCACTTGAGACCGTAGGCTTCCGCGAAGTTGTTCAGTTTTGGTCGTGTATAAAATGTTGCTGCTAGCTGCATCATCATTTTTAGCATCGCCGAATCAACCTGTCATCTCACTTGAGACCGCTGTCTTTCTTGAGTTCCGCTGTTCACATGTGTGGATCAACACTCAGATTATCACTGACGTACCAGGCGGGTGTGAGGGCTCTAGATGCGCTCAGTGGGACGACCACATCAACCTGCTTGCAGCAAGGGATGAGGGAGGGAGGGAGTCAGATGCAGGGGAGTGATAGCTGCTGTGTGTGAATCAATGGCCTTTCACACACCATGCGGGTGTGCGGGCTCCTGATGCGCTCAGTGGGACGACCACATCAACCTGCTTGCAGCAAGGGACGGGGGAGGGAGGTAGGTGCAGGGGCAGGGAGCGATAGCTGCTGTGAATCGACGGCCTTTCACACACCATGCGGGTGTGAGGGCTCTAGATGCGCTCAGTGGGACGACCACTTCCACCTGCTTACAGCAAGGGATGAGGGAGGGAGGCAGGTGCAGGGGCAGGGAGTAAGAGCTGCTGTGAAACAATGGCCTTTCACACCCCATGCGGGTGTGAGGGCTGTGCTCAGTGGGACGACCACTTCTACCTGCTTACAGCAAGGGATGGGGGAGGTAGGTAGGTGCGGGAGAAGGGAGCCATATCTGCTGTGAATCAACAGCCTTTCACACACCATGCGCTCTATGCGCTCACTAGAACGACCTGGGTAGAGAGCAAGTAGAGCAAATAATAGACGGAAGGGAGGTAAGTGAGGCAGGGAAGGTCAAAACATCAGCAGACACAGACACGAAGAAAGTAGTATAGTTTTGAGGCGCCTCAAAACTAGACACAGACACCAAGATTGGAAGGTTTGGAACTGCCGTGACGTGACAACACGAAAATGAGCATGGGTCACATACGACGTAGCTTACCCATAACTCACCTTATCTGGTTCCTCCCCTCGTTTGTAGCACATGATGGCAAGCAGGCTTAGAGGCGGCCGCTGCTGCTGCTGCTGCTGCTGCTGCTGATTATGAGCCGCCCCTCTCTCACACCCTTCCCGCTCCTCCTCCTTCCCTACTTGATTTATTCTTTCTAGACTTTCCTCTCTACACCTAGCACCTCCCCTCCCCCTCTCCCTCTCCCTCTCCCTCTCCCTCTCCCCCTCCCTTCCCCTCTCCTCTCCCCCACGTTCCGTCATCAAAACGACCTCCACTCGTTTCCACCAATCAGCGGCTGCCAGCTTGGACAGCGCCACGTACGCTTCCAGAGGCGAGGCGGGCCAATCACAGGCCTTGGTGGAAGGCAGAGAGGAGTGGGGAAGGAATAAGGGGAAGGAGGAGGAAGGGGAGAGGGAGGAGGGAACAGGCGAACGGGAGTACGGAGAATAGGAGGAGGAAATCGAAGAGCAGAGGGAGATAAACTGGTGCCATGGGGGGAGAGAATCCACGTGCAAGGGTGGCGTGGGGCTCATGCTGCTGCTGTTGCTGCTGCTGCTGCTGCTGCTGCTGTTGTTGTTCCGAGCGTTACCAACTTCGCTCCTAGCGGTTCCCATTGCGCTACTACGAATGGCAGTGGCCGTGCTAGTGGATGCCGCTGCTTCGCCGCTTCTCAATCGGCCTTCCTGGTCCCTCTCCTTGTCCCTCTCCCCCTCCTCCCTCTCCCCGTCGCCCCTCTCCCTATCGATGATCAGCAACGTTCTACTCGACGATCGGCGCCCGCGCTCTCTAACCCCGCCATGCATCTTCGCTGATCGTGACGTCACTCTCTGTTCACTCGCAGCTCGTGACGTCACTCTCTGCTCGTGACGTCAGTCCCTCAGCGATCCAGCACGAGAAGAATGCCGCTGCGATCTCAACGATTCGTGTCGCCCGTCCCCGCGCAATTTCGTTCGCCTCTCACTACCTATTCCAATGGATGACGCTCGGGGTAACAGATCGCAAGGCCGTCCTCAAATTAGGACGCAAGTGCACAAAGTTAGCGCTATGAAATGTGCTACTACTGCTTGTGTGAACCACAATAGGGTTACGCCATTCGGCTTTCTGCTTTTTGTTTTCGCCATTCCGCTCGCTTTCCCCCTGGTCCCACAGAACGTACCAAACGAAGAACCTTAGGGTTGTCGTTTCAGTTCTGGTTCATTAGGGCACCAGTTACGTTTCCCTCGGACGAACCCGTCCGCGTAACGAGTTCGTTTGGAGTACAATTTCAGTCAGCATCCACTACCATTTCAGGGTTCGGAGAACATTTCAGACCTAAAACTCAGGCTTCAGCGACTGACTTTCATCCATTGCTATGCCGTAGCGCGGCGCAGGTGCTTTGCTGAACGTCTCGTGCTGACTTCACTCTAGCGATTTCCCAAAATGAACTTATCGTTTTTCTGTGAATCTTGCAATCGAACGACCTTATAACGCGTCCGAATCTCCCTTTCCAGCCTCAATAAGCACGGAAGACACGACGCTAGCGGCACCAGAGCTTCATTCTCCGCAATCTCCGAAATCGAGTTGCGACAGCCTCCCCATGATTGCGTCACTCGCTTCAGAATCGCGTTAGTACTACCAGCTGGTAGTCCCCGCCTTTTGTGGTAACCAGCAGTTGAGGAAAACACACGGTAATGGCAGGGAAGGAGAGGGAGAAGGAAAAGGGGAGGGAGAAGGGGGGAGAGAGAGGGCGAGAGAGAAAAAGGGAGGAGAAAGAGAAGGGAAGCGGAAAAGAGAAGGAGAGGAGCAAGGGGAAGCACAGGAGGAATGAGAGCGGAGGGAGTAGCAGGAGCGGGAGAGCAGCGTCACCGTCAGCGTGTGAGGGGGAGGTACCACGGTCCAGACATCACCACCATAGCCATCACGGGCATCAGCATAAGGAGCATCACCATACAGACCATCAGCGTAATGACCATCAGCGTAATGACTATCAGCAGCATACGGACCATCAACTCTCAGACGATCACCACCAGTGGCAGCACCATGATCAGCAGCAGCAGCCGTTTCTTCAGCAGCAGTATCAGCAACACCATCAGCAGCAGCAGCATCAGCAGCAGCTTCCAGTGACGTCATCATTCGCATCATCACCCAGAATGACGTCAGCGTCGCCATCAGGAACCGATGGTTGGCGTGGGATGCTGACGTCAGCTGCATCAGCACCCATCATCAAGAGATGCCATTCAATGATTCAACGCCGGGAGGTGCAGTCTCCCTCTGTTTCTTGCCATTTATCAGGCACTAACTGACTGAACAGGTCTCCAGGCGCACCCCTCCAGTCATGCATCCATCCATCCTACATTTCGCCTTCTTACCCTGTCCTTTCCTGTCCTCGTCAGCCAGCCATTCTAAGGCCAAACCACCAGCATGCATGATGAATGGATCATGGACCCCTCCGTTGCTGTGCTCCCTTTCTCAGCTCCCTCCCTTTCCCTGCAGCTTCCCAAGGGCTCAACTCAACTCAATGCCATCCATTAGTCTGAACGCTTGCCTCTTGCTGGCATGCCTGCCAGCGTATGTCTCAACTTTGCGCCCTACTCCTTGCACACTCCCCTTCGCTCCTCAAACCCTCCCGCCAGCTGCCCAAGGGCTCGACTCCATACATTATCTCTGGCGTTTTCCTCTTGCTGGTACGCGTGCGTAGGTGCTTCAAATCTGGGCTTTTGGGTTTTTACTGGTATCAGGTCGCACTTGCATGAAAGTGCGATCCACGCAAGTGGCGAGCTTTGGGAAGGTTTGGCAAGGAAGGAATAGACAGGCATCGGGCGAAATCGATGGTTCGTGTTGTCAGGTCTGCATGAGAATTGTTGACACGAGGTGCCTGCCTGCCGACAGGAAGTTTGACACGCGTGCGGAGCGTACGTACGAACCCCGGCATTCTTGGCATGTTGTGTTGTTGTTGCTGCTATGCTGTTGTCTCGTGAGGTGTTTATTTTCCGGTTCATTGAGTGAGCTTGTCAGCAGAGTCAACGGTGCAGCCAGTTGAAGAACCAGAGAACTTCGACCTGATGGCTCCATGATCCATCCTCCCCTATGAACCAGAGAATGGGGCCAACGGGGCCAATGGGGCCAATGGGGCCAAGAAGCACCTGGGGGGGGGGGTCGGGGGGTGTTTTTGAGAATTCTCAAAAACACCCAGCTGATGCCCACATCTTCCTCCATGATCAAGAAAATGGGCCAAGAAGCACCTGCCTGGGGGGGGGGGAAGGGGGAGTGGGGCCGTGGGGGTAAGATGGACTTCTTGAGCCAGCTGATGGCTCCACCTTATCCTCCCCCCCCCTTCCCCCCCCCCCCCCCCAGTTGCGACTTGTCCCCATTCTCCGATTCGCCATCTTCTTTATCTTTCAGACTGACGAAGTGTAATCGCCTGATCGCCGTCAGGTCAGGTCAGGTCAGGTCAGGTCAGGTCAGGTCAGGTCAGGTCAGGTCAGGTCAGGTCAGGTCAGGTCAGGTCAGGTCAGGTCGTCCTACCTATCCCTCCTATCGCATCCCCCCCCCAGGTGCTCACTCTCTGATTCGCCATCTTCTCGATCTTTCAAGCAGCTGAAGAGAAACAGCCAGATTGCCTTCGGATCACCTCAACACTCTCTTCCCTGTCCTCTCCTCCCTGTCCCCTCCCCCCCACCCCCCCAGGTGCTCACTCTCTGGTTCGACGTATTCTCAATCTTCCAAGCAGACGACGAACAGGCGCTTATTCGTGCCTCTGCCTCTTCCATTCCTCCCCAGTTCTCCCAATCAGTAAGCACATTCTCGTTCGTTAGATAAGGGTAATGCTTAGCGAAGCATGGTGTTCTACAGCAGCTAGACCCTCCTAAACCCCCCATCCTGCTGCTTCAATTCCTTGCTCGTACTGCAATGCAATCTACTCACACAATTTCGCTCCTCCTGTCTCCCTGTACACCCCCCCCCCATCACCATCTTCCCCATCACCATCTTCCCCCATCACCATCTCCCCCCATCACCATCTCCCCCCATCACCATCTCCCCCCATCACCATCTCCCCCCATCACCATCTCCCCCCATCACCATCTCCCCCCATCACCATCTCCCCCCATCACCATCTCCCCCCATCACCATCTCCCCCCATCACCATCTCCCCCCATCACCATCTCCCCCCATCACCATCTCCCCCCATCACCATCTCCCCCCATCACCATCTCCCCTACCACCTTCTGTCCCACCTATTGCCTGCCGACCTCTTCAGTCCACAGCTTTCTCTGAATCACCACCCTCATCACCAGCAGCAGAAGAGCCGTCAGCACAGCACACCGATACTGGCGCCTCTCTCTCGTCTCCTGCCAACACTGCTTCGGAAGGTTTCGAACCAACCGACAGCTCCGGTGCGGAAGCTGCAGCTGCTAGCAGCAGCAGTGGCAGCGGTGACAGCAGCAGCAGCAGCATAAGCAGCAGCAGCCCAGGCAGCGGTCTATCCCCGGAGCCTGACGGAGGAGACGTCACTGATCTCTCCCACCCATCCAGGTGGCAGCAGCATGCGTTCAGGCGCGTGGGGCTCGTGTCGTTCGCCCAGTTCTCCGCCTACAGAATCTCAGGCAACCAGTTTGCTGCTGTGGGGCTGGCTGCTCGCGCCCTGGATGACACGAGAAAGGTGAGGCAGGAGGGGAGGGATGGAAAGAAAAGGGAGCACGGGGGTGAGGGATGATGCGTCTAAAGGGGTGTGAAATGGCTTGTTGAGCTGTTTAAACAGGGTGTTAGCCATGTGAGCTCGCCCGGGTGTGTTTTTTACATGGTTTGAAGGCTTGTTGAGCTGTTTTTTGCAGGGTGCTTTTGAGCATTACAAAAAAGCAAGCTGTTTTTTAAAGAAGAGACGAGAGGAGGGAAAGAATTTATTGTGGAATGAATGATAAATCGATTCTTTTTGCAAAGTATTGATTGTGGAATGAATGATAAATCGGTTCTTTTTGTTTTGTGATGTCTGGTCTGTTGCATTGCAAAATCTGATGCACATTGTAACATGCGATGCGCATTGTAACGCATGGCTTGATGTGACATGCGGAAGGTGGGCACATGCGTGTGGGAGCCTGCGAAATCTGCAACAGGGCAAGCGCAAGGCGAGGAGACAAGCGGTGCCACGTCGGAGAGTGGGACGAGGAGGAGGAGGAGGAGGAGGCTGATGGCGCAGGAGATTGGGAGAGGAGGAAAGGAGGAGAGACACTGGGGAGGAGCGAGGAGGAAGCATGAGAGACAAAGTGGTCGAGGAGCGACACATGAGAGGAGCGCAGTGCCGAAGAGAGAGAGTGTAGAATCCTCCCTGAAGAGAAAAGGTGAGGGCGAGGTGGTGGCCAAGGAAGTGAGTGGGAGGATGCTTGGAGCGCCTGAAATCCTGCAGAGCGGCCTTTCCCTGAAGAGAAGGCAGCTACAGGATAGTTCACCCGATGATTCACATGAGAGTTCATCTGATAAATCACCTGACAGTTCACCTGAGAAGTCACCTGAGAGTGAGTCTTCTGTGAATGGGGAGAAGCCAGGAGAGGGAAGGGAACGGGAAGAGGAGAGGAAGGAAGAGGATAGGAAGGAGGAAGGGAGGAAGGAGGAAGAGAGGAAGGAGGGAGAGAGGAAGGAGGGAGAGAGGAAGGAGGAAGAGAGGAAGGAGGAAAAGGAGCGGAAAGAGGAAGGGAGGAAGGATGAAGAGAGGAAGGAGGAAGAGGCGGAGGATGCGCGAGGGTGGATACGTGGAGAGGTGGAGATGCTACACGTGGGAGAGCACCATTGGTGGAAATATGCCGGGCTCATTCTGCTGTGCACCCTAAAGAGGTGAGTTGAGTGAGACGAGTTTTGTGCTAGGTTGATTGAAAACGTTTTGTTTGATTCCAAGGCTAATGGTCAGAGGTCAGAAGCTGCTGAGAGGGTCAAATGTGACTTGTGAGTTGACTCAAAAGTTGCCTTGTTAATGGTCAGAGGTCAGACAGAAGCTGCTGACAGGCTGACTGACAGCTTCAGAGGTATGGTGCTCTGCTTTTGAGTCGACTCATAGAAAGAGGTATGGTGGTGATGTCATTGCTGTGACCCATGCCATACCCCCTGCTTGTTGTCTTTTTTTTAGGCACCTCAAAATAGACCCATGGGCCGTGGCCTTTGCCCCATGGCCCATGCATGCCCCATGCTTGATGCACCACATGACAGGGAGGGAGGTGTGTGTGGCAGACGGTGGGAGGTCGCACATGCGGATAGGTGGGTCACGGGGAGGATGTGGTGGTGCATGAGGAGCAACCAGCAGTGTGCCCCATTTTTCATGCCCCATACCACATGGCAGGGAGGCGTATGTGGCAGACGGTGGGAGATTACACATGCGGATAGACGGGGAGGATGTGGTGGTGTATGAGGAGCAGCCTGGGGAGGTGGTCAGTGCCGTGCCGCATCCCCCCTTCCTGCACAACATCACCCACTGCTCTCCCCCCATACATCACGAGGTGAGTTCTCCCTCCACAACACTGTAGGGTTCACTATTCAGTAACCTTTTTAGTATAAGGTGCACTGTGATGTGAGTGCCGTGCCCCATCCTCCCTTCCTCCACAACATCACCCACTGCCCTCTCCCCGTTCGTCATGAGGTAATTTCTCCCACCATACATCACAAGCTGCAGTAACGAATCTAAAGTGTACTCTGAGTGCTGTGCCCCATCCCCCCTTCCTCAACAGCATCATCCACTGCTCTCCCTGTTCCGCACGAGGTAAGTTTCCCCACCACAAAACTGCTTCCTTCTATCCAATCCGCGGCTTAGTGGCAGGTGATGAGGTGTGCTTTGAGTGTTGGTGAGTTCTCCCCCCATGCACCAGGTGATTTTCCAGTCGACTGAAAAATCCGTGCGTAATGAGTCTATTTTTGAGTCGACTCAAAAGTCACCTACGGGTTGGTGAGTTCTCCCCCCATGCACCATAATGGGGGGAAAAATTAGCACCCTGCACTGCCCATCCCCCACCCCCCCACCAGTTCCCCCTGTCTCTCCCCATATCCCCCTGTCTCATATGGCTCAATTGAACGTGGCTCGTGTCGCATGTGGTTTTGAGGCGCCTCACAACCCGCCAGTTTGGTTTTGAGGCGCCTCACGACTAGACTCCTATCACGCGGTTTTGAGGCGCCTCAAAACCCGCCACCTACCCCAATCTCGCACTTATGCTGTCCAGTTTTGAGGCGCCTCAAAACTCGCACTTTGTGCTGTCCATGATCATTTGGCTCAACTGAACATGGCTCGTGTGGCATGTGGCATGTGGCATGGGAGCATTGGGCATGGGGCATGGAGTATTGGGCATGGGGGCATGGGGCATGGGATATTGGGCATGGTGCATGGGGTATTGGGCATGCCCCGTGGGGCATGTGTGGCATGGCCGCAGGTGAACGCGGAGCGCATCCATCAATGGATGGATCTACACATACGGATGGGTGTGGACCACTATGCCATGTATGATGTGGGCGGGGTGGACGACCAACTCCGCTCTGCTGTCAAGGTGAGCAACATGTTGTTACAAACTGTTGGTTGCATTAGGAAATGGGGGGTTTGCATAGTCGAGGAGAAAGGAGGGGGGGTTGGTTCAATCAAGGCCAAGATTATTGGCGTCCCCAATAATTTGGGTTGGCCAAATTACTGGCGGGTCGAGTAATTCTGGCCAAGATTATTGGAGGGGCAAATAATATTGGTTAGGATTATTGGGGTCCCCAGTAATTGAGAGGTTTGACATTTGGTGGCCAATATTGGCCAAGGAAGGGAACCCAACCCTTTTGCGACCCCAAACCCCCACCACGATAATCACACCCTAGTTATAATATGATGCTTATAACTACCCAAGAATACTAAGCTATGTAGGATAAAGCAACAGGGCTATATTTTAACACATGGTACTGTCCTTCCAACCTTCTCTCCCCGCCTCCCCCTTTTCCTCCCCCATACCCCCCATCCTCCTCCTCCTGTGCTCCCTCCTTCCATCATCTATCAACTCTGTTAAGATCTCCTTTCCATGGCCTTTCGCGCTTCTCCATCCTCCTACCCCCCTTAGTCGACGCGCCCTCTCGCCTTCCCCACCCCCCCATGCCGTTAATCATGGTGATTTGGCTTTGTTCGCTATTAGTGATAATACTGATACCGCAAATTTCTCCTTGGCATTTTGAGACCTCTCAGATTTCGCTTTGGTATGCCATTTTGCCCTACCTCTGCTTTCACTATTGCTTCCCTTCCCTTCCCCTGAATGACTTGTCTTTCTTCCCTTATATTTCGCAGCCATTTCTAGATGGAGGGATTGTGGAAATCACTGATTTTCGTGAGGTGGTGAACTACGAGTCATGGTACTACGGTCAGGTGAGGCATGCAATGTAACAAATCGTGTACAGACAGGTAACTCTTGCAAATAAATAAATAAATAAATAAATAGAAATCCTTGCCAGATCCACGTTTCGTACCTTTCTCCTACCCACCAGGTCATCCCTGCATCCTCCCCCCTCCCTCCCCCCCTCCCCCCTTTCCCCATCCCATATCTCTCGGCCCCAACCAGGTCAAGATAGTGAATGAGTTTGTATATCGCTCCATCTCTCCCCCACTCTCTTCTATTCCCCTACCTGGCAGGTCATGATAGTGAACGACTGTGTGTATCGCTTCCGATCCCTCTCCAAGTGGATCATGTACCTCGATTATGACGAGTTCATGTTTATCGATGGACAAGTAAGCATGTATCCACTCTTTCTCCCTCGTGCTCCTCTTATCCTCTGATATTACATCCTATCGAGGTATTTTTTAGAATTCTAATACGTATTATCCTCCTATATTACCTCTTATTGAGAGAATTTTTAGAATTCTAAAAAATAATATCCTCCTACATTACCTCCTTCCTGTCCCTCATGCCAACCTCTCCTCCGTATTGTATTCTCTGTCTATATTGCCTATATACTCCTTTCCCTTCCCCCTCATATACCTTTCCCCAGATGCCATTTGTTCCTTATCCTTTTCCCTTTCCTCCACATATGACTCCCCTTTCAGCGTGCATGACTTCCTCTCCCCTCACGAGGGCCTGCCGTATGTTAGCCTTGGGTACATGTGGTGTTGTCCAGCCCATGCAATGCTGTTTTCCCTTCCATGCTTCTTTCTCGCCTCTCCACACTTTGCTCCACAGGAACGCCTACCCAGCCCTTTCAGCGTGCATGACTTCCTCTCCCCTCACGAGGGCATGCCCTATGTCAGCCACGGGTGCCTCTGGTGGGACCACGAGCGCTGTTTGCCCTCTCAAGGGGACGATGGTGCGTGTGTGCTTGTGTAGGCACCGTATTGGTGCTTTCGCCTGTTTTTTACCACCTTTGTCAGCCTGTGGTGGGACCATGAGTGTTTTTTAGAATTCTTAAGAACGCCCTGCTTTTGAGAGTTCTAAAAAACGCCCTGCTTTTGAGAATTCTGAAAAGGCGTTCTTTGTCAGCCACGGCCCATGGGTGACTGTGGTGGGACCACAAGCGCTGCCTGCCCTCCCAAGGGGGCGATGGTGCATGGTTAGACCGGTTCTGGAATGCCCACCAGTGTTTTTTGTCCACTGGTGATTTTTTCCCACCGGTGATTTTTGCGAGGTGACTTTTGAGTCAACTCAAAGTCACCTGGAATGCCCACCGGTGATTTTTGCCCACCAGTCAAAAATCACTGCCTGCCCTCCCAAGGGGGCGATGGTGCGTGCATGGTCAGACCAGTTCTGGAATGCCCACCCCTTTGAGCATGCATCACTTCCTCCCTCATACCCTTCGACAGCCACCACGGGTGCCTGTGGTGGCACTTTGTTTGAACGCTGCGCTCCTGTACTTCAGACCCCAGGTGCCTTCATTTCTTGCTGCGGGTGTCCTCTTGTACTTTGAGTCGACTCAAAATACATACACCTGTCCTCTCTGCCTTTCCAGTGGGGCTCTCTTCCCCTCTCTGCCTTTCCACTGGTGCTCTCTTCCCCTCTCTTCCTCCTCCTCCCTCCTCGCGTTCTCCCTATATCTGTTCCCATGGCAGACCCCAGGTGGGCTCTGGAGCGCATGCTGTGGCACTGGCCGTTCATCTACTGCCAGTCCAAGGACAACACCACAAACCCCAAGATGTGCCTCGACCACTGGGGCCACCGCAAGCTGTTTGTCGATCCAAGAAAGGTATGGCTCCCTGTGCTGAGGCGTCTTGAAACGGGTATGGGCAACAGTGCTGACCCCAAGATGTGCCTCAGCCACTGGGGCCACCGCATACTGCTCATCAATTAGAGGAAGGTAGGGCACCGTGTGCTGAGACGCCTTAAAACGATGATGTTTACTGCGATGGTCCTCAACATGTCTCTGGATCACTGGGGGGCATGTGTTTTGTTTTTTAGAATTCTCAAAAGCAAGCTCTTTGTGAACCCAGGAATGTTTCTTCTGGCTCCCTTGCTTGTGCCGTCCCCTTGCTTCGCTTCCTCTCCACACCTCTCTTTCTCCGGCTTCCCCCTTTCAGGGTGTTTTTGAGAGTTCTCAAGAACACCATGTTTCGCTGTTTGCTTGTGCTTCCTCCCCGCACCTTCTCTTTTTCTCCCCCCCCCCTCTCAGGTGCGAGTGGTGGAAAACCACGTGGTTTCAGACCCCAGTGGGGGAGGCAAGGACCTTCCCACTGATAGTTTGAGGCACCACCACTTCCATGTGAGTCATGGGATATGCCCTTTCCTTTTAGCTCCTTTTTATTAGCTCCGTTTTAGCTCCTTCCTAGTGCCTGAGACGTCTCTTTCCACGGACAGTTTGAGGCACCACCACTTCCATGTGAGTCATGGGATATGCCCTTTTCTTTTAGCTCCTTTTTATTAGCTCCGTTTTAGCTCCTTCCTAGTGCCTGAGACGTCTCTTTCCACGGACAGTTTGAGGCACCACCACTTGTGAGTCATGGGATATGCCCTTTTCTTTTAGCTCCTTTTTATTAGCTGCTTTTTAGCTCCATTTTATTAACTCCTTTTTAGCTCCATTGTATTAGCTCCTTTTGAGCCCCTTATCCAGCTAAGCTTGAGCTAAGGACCTTCTCATGGACAGTTTGAGGCACCACCACTTCCATGTTTTGAGGCGCCTCGAAATAAAATCCGCGGGATAGGAGTCTTAGTTTTGAGGTGCCTCAAAACTAGCTTGAGCCAAGGACCTTCCCACGGGCAGTTAGAGGCTCCACCACTTCCAGTTGAGCGCTCTGGGGCGTGTTTAGAGACGTCTCAATGTGCATTTGAAGGCAGTTGACCCCGTGTTGACTCTCATTGACCCCATGTTGACTCTCATTGACCCCGTGTTGACCCTCATTGACCCCGTGTTGACTCTCATTGACGTTGACCCTCATTGACCCGGTGTTGACTCTCATTGACCCCGGGTTGACTCTCATTGACCTCTTGTTGACTCGCATTGACCCCGTGTTGACTCTCATTGACCTCATGTTGACTCGCATTGACCCCGTGTTGACCCTCATTGACCCCATGTTGACTCTCATTGACCCCATGTTGACCCTCATTGACCCTGTATTGACTCTCATTGACCACGTGTTGACTCTCATTCCCCTCTGTTGACTCTCATTGACCTGCGTTGACCCTTCCTCTCCTCAGGGCATCATAAAGCGTGGCCTCAACGAGTGCAATCAGGCCATGAAGGCAGACGATCCCATAGAGTGGTGGGCGCACGGCACAGAGGAGGCGGACAGAATGCAGTACGTGCGCACACACCCCCTCGACATGCCGTCTCTGCTCGCTGCACACAAGGTGAGACAGTGAGGCTCTGGCCCTTAGTGAGTGCACCCTTCGCATAGAGTGGTGGGCGCACAGCACAAAGGAGGCGGACAGAATGCAGTACGTGCGCACGCACCCCCTCGACATGCCGTTGCCACTTGCTGCACACAAGGTGAGGCAGGGAAGATGTGGTTCTTGGCAAGTAAAGAAGGTTAGAGCGGCTCTCGCACTGCATACCTTCATGTAGAGAGTACGGGCAGTGGGCCCATGGGAATGATGAGGCAGATACCGGTACCGGGAGCATGCACCGTGTGTGCGCATGACATGACCTCTTGTCTAGCCTACTCGAATCGAATGGCTGCGCATCAGGCAAGTGAGCGAGCGCACATTGCGGTTGTTGATGTGCCTTGATAAGCCATGCCGCTTCGCTTCACTCTCTTTTGCTCATTTGCCTCATATCCCTCTGCCTTTCGCTGTGCTGTTATGCAGTGGTGGAGAGAGTACGTGCTGAGAATGCAGCAAGGTCGATAACAACTGCCCGATATGTGGGCTACTTACAACAATTGGAATATGTCCTGTAGATGGGATGTACAGTAGGGTAGGGTTTCATAAGTTGAGCTTTTTACACAGAATGTCAGCTGGTGTTTCATGCCTCGAGTCTAGCTTTAGTGGTTGATAACGGCCCAAATACCATATTTTGTATAGAGAATCTGAGCTTTAAGAATTCTGATTTCTAAACGATTTTTTTTCTTAGGAGTATATATTCACAGAGTAACTGCAAGGGGAAAATGCTCTCGTTACAACAAGAAGTCCATTTTGACATCAACCACGTCGAGCTGAAGAATATCGGCTTCACAATTCAGCAGTGACCCAACACTGCGTGACAGAGAAGGGTAGGGAGTGGGGGGAGGAGTCAACAAGAACGGGGGGGAGGGGGGGAGGGGGGAAGGGGAGGAGGGATCAGACAGATCATCCATTTTGACATCAACCACATCGAGCTGGAGAAAATCGGCTTCACAATTCAGTAGTGACCCAATGCTGTGTGAGCAGGGAGTGGGGAGGGAGGGGGGAGAGAGGGGGGAGGGAGGGGGGAGAGAGGGGACAAAGAGGAGGCGGGGGGGGGGGGAGGGGGGGAGGGTGTTTGGGGTCATCCATTTTGACATCCACCACATCGAGCTGGAGAAAATGGGCTTCACTATTCAGAAGTGACCAGCACTGCGTGACAGAGAAGGGCAGGGAGTAGGGAGAGGAGGGAGAGAGGGGAAGTCAAGGGAGGGTTGTTGGGACAATCCATTTTGACATCAAACAGATCGAGCTGGAGGATATCAGCTTGACAGATCATTAGTGACCCATCGCTGTGCGACAGAAAAGGGCAGGGAGTGGGGAGAGGAGGGAGAGAGGGGAGGGGAGAAAGAGATGGGGGGGTGGGGGGGACAGGGTTTGGTTAGAAACATCCATTTTGACATCAACCACATCGAGCTGGAGGATATCGGCTTGCTTGACAATCCAACAGTGACCCAATACAGCGTGATACTAAAGGGTGACAGAAATATGGTGGGGAAGGTATGCAGAGGGGAGGGGCAGAGAGAGCAGGAAAGTGGGTGGGTATGGCATTTAGAGAAGAGGGGCAGAAAAGGGCGAGAAGAAAAGGGTGGGAATGTATGCAGCGAAGAGGGATAGAGGGAGCAGGAAAGTGGGTGGGCACGGGAAGGGAGTGGGTAGGATGGACAAGGCATGCACTGACGAGATGCTGGGGAACTGACGAGATGCTTGGGAGCAGACACGAGAAGAAAACACAGGAATGTGACGTCAGCATGAGGACGCACGCGACATGAGGAAGCATGTGACACGGGGAAGCATGTGACACGAGGAAGCATGTGACACGAGGAAGCATGTGACACGAGGAAGCATGTGACACGAGGAAGCATGTGACACGAGGAAGCACGGGACGCTTCTTACTTTGGTTGGGTGCGGCCAAAGTCACCATGAACGAATTCCTTGACGTAAGTACCAGCCTGCACACACACACACACGCACATGCGGCCATGCACGCACACACACACACACAAGCACATGCGACCATGCACGCACACACACACGCACATGCAAGAAAGCATGCATGCACACGCACACAAGCACATGCAAGCACGCACACACACACACATGCACATGCAAGCAAGCACGCATGCACAGGCACACAAGCACATGCAAGCACGCACGCACACACACACGCACATGCAAGCAAGCATGCATGCACACGCACACAAGCACATGCGAGCACGCACGCACACACGCACACATGCAAGCAAGCATGCATGCACACGCACACAAGCACATGCGAGCACGCACGCACACACGCACACACGCACACATGCACGCACACATGCACACATGCAACGATCGGTTGAACATATGAACATGCCAGCACTCTGCGCTCGAAGAAACTCAACATAACATCCAAGCACACTCACGCGCCCTCTGGGCATTATGAATAGAAATACATAGCACACTGAAACCTTGAGTCCATATTTTGACTTGCCTGAGTGGTGAGGTGGAGAAGGAAGACGTGCGGGTTCGATGGCACCAGGTGGCACTGCATGCTGCAATGGTGATTGCGGAAGGAAGCAAGCAAGGAGGGTTGTTTTTAGAGTGTCTCAACGCTTGCGGGTTCGATGGCACCAGGTGGCACTGCATGCTGCAATGGTCATTGCGGAAGGAAGCAAGGAGGATTGTTTTTAGAGTGTGCAACGCTTGCGGGTTCGATGGCACCAGGTGGCACTGCATGCTGCAATGGTTGATGGAGGAAATTTGACAAGGAGCAGTGAGAAAGCAGGAAATGGACGAAGACACGAGAGGTGCGGCAAGGAGAGCAGAAAAGAATGGGGAACATTCGGGGAACATTTGGGGACCATCGGGGGACCATCGGGGGACCATCTGGGGACCATCGGGGGACGATCGGGGGGACGATGGGGGGGCCATCTGAGGACCATCGGGGGACCATTTGGGGACCATTTGAAGTCCATTTGGGGACCATCGGGGGACCATCTGGGGACCATTGGGGAACCATCTGGGGACCATCGGGGGAGCACTGGCCTCAGAGAGTGGATGGGGGGCGAGGCGGGGAGGTCGGGGGCTTAGTTGCTACAAACGCGTTTGGCGTTTGAACGCTAGCGTTTAAACGCTAGCGTTTGAACGCTAAACGCTCGGCAGCGTGTATGTGAACTCTAGGCAAACGCTTGCCCGGGCAGGGGTAAAAATTTTACCCGGGCAGGGGTTCAAGATTCCTGTGGGGGAGGGGGGAAACATGGGGGTTCTACCAGCAAGCATTTTGTCTCATAAAAAAGAACCGTGCTTAACATTTAAGCCAGCATCCTCATATGTCATGTAAATCACCTATCCTTAATCCTATTCTCCAACGACAATCTCGTGTTTTTTTTGGGGGGGCAGCCCGAAAAAAATCCCAGAGAGCGTTTGCGTTTTTGGGTGCGTTTGGCGTTTGCGTTCAAACGCTAGCGTTTGAACGCCAAACGCTTGTCTCCCAGAGCGTTTGTAGCAACTAAGGTCGGGGGGATGTGCGAGGTGGGTGGAAGGGAGCAGAGGGGAGGATAGAGGGAAATGGAAGTGCAGCTGCAGCACAGGTGCAAGTGGAGGTGTGTGTGCACCTGTAGATGGTTCGAGGGCGTGTGAGTGGGCTTCGTCTGTGCAACACTCGAATGGGAGTCTTCTGCTGTAGCTCCTGTGGGGGTTTACAGAGTGATAGGGGAAGTGTACCGAACACAGTTTCTCAAGCTCTGTGCTGGCGCTGCCTCCTGCAATCCTCCTAGTTTCCAGAGTGGAGCACTTAGAAAGGACAGAAAATAACATTCGTTGCGAGGAACGAGAGAAACGAACCGGATGCGAAAGCAGGAAAGGAAACGACAGCCAGAGCTGAAAGGAGGACGGAAGACCACATATGAGAAGACAGGGCCTTCTCACATCTCACCTGGTCTTCTCACATCAGGCCTTTGACGCTGGCCGAGTCTATTTTTGAGGTGCCTCAAAAACGACAGCCAGGGCTTAAAGGAGGACGGGAGACAGGGCCTTCTCACACCTGGTCTTCTCATATCAGTCCTTTGACGCTGACCAGACCTGGTATGAGAAGGTCAGTTGGTTCTTGAGAATTCTCAATAACCAATTTAAGGCCCTGTGACCCTGTCAGACCGTGGCCACATCTGGTATAAGAGGGCCCTGTCAGACTGACCGTGGCCAGATCTGGTATGAGAGGGCCCTGTCAGACTGACCGTGGCCACATCTGGTATGAGAGGGCCCTGTCAGACTGACCGTGGCCACATCTGGTATGAGAGGGCCCTGTCAGACTGACCGTGGCCAGATCTGGTATGAGAGGGCCCTGTCAGACTGACCGTGGCCACATCTGGTATGAGAGGGCCCTGTCAGACTGACCGTGGCCAGATCTGGTATGAGAGGGCCCTGTCAGACTGACCGTGGCCAGATCTGGTATGAGAGGGCCCTGTCAGACTGACCGTGGCCACATCTGGTATGAGAGGGCCCTGTCAGACTGACCGTGGCCAGATCTGGTATGAGAGGGCCCTGTCAGACTGACCGTGGCCACATCTGGTATGAGAGGGCCCTGTCAGACTGACCGTGGCCACATCTGGTATAAGAGGGCCCTGTCAGACTGACCGTGGCCAGATCTGGTATGAGAGGGCCCTGTCAGACTGACCGTGGCCAGATCTGGTATGAGAGGGCCCTGTCAGACTGACCGTGGCCAGACATTGTGACTCTGGGTTGGCTAGGTAACTTTTGAGTCGACTGAGAAGAAATGTCACTCGGAGTTCCGCCACCCGCCCCTACCAGGTCTCTGATGCTCTCCAGCTTCGCCACGTCAGCTTGTGTGATTGGTCGAGAGAGCCACACCACTGCCACATAGGATTTCTGCGGGAAGTTAAGAAGAATGATAGGGACAACAGGGCAGCAAGGTAATTGAGATCATGGGACATGATAGAAAACGAATGCTGGATAGATGCTGCCACAGAAGTATGTATTCTTTATTTTGTCGCAGTAAGCGCTTACAAGTCAGCAGTAAGCGCTCTGCTCTCCTTCCCGCCCGAACCCCACCGCTCACCCACTCACCTGTTTCTCTGCCTCTCCTTGTCGCATCACCGCACACACCCGCGCATCCGCCAGCTGCAGCTGCAACACGCCCACCTGCAGGCAGTGCAGGGAAGGGCACGGCACAGCAAAGGGCAGGCAGGGAGAGCCGCTTTTTGAGAATTCTCAAAAATCACCTGCAGGGAAGGGCAAGGCAAGGCAAGAGCAGGCAGGGAGAGCCGCTTCAAGAAGCACCAGCTGCAACTGCAGCATGCCCACCCGTAGGCCATTTTTTAGTTTTCTCAAAAATCACCTGCACTGCAGGGAAGGGCACGGCAAGGGCAGGCAGGGAGAGCAGCTTCAAGAAGCAAGCACCAGCTGTGCTCTCCTTCAAATGAGCGAGTCGGTGATTTTTTGACCGACTAAATAAATAATCACGTAGACGCACCAGCCGCTACGTGCTCTCCTTCAAACGAGCGAGTCAATAAAGAAGCCGCTAAAGCAACATGCGGCATACCTTCCCTCTGTCCTGCTCGTTGATCCCCCCCTCTATCCGCTTCAACTCTCCAACAGTAGGCACCAGCTCGGACTCTTTTAAGAGGGGTCTACAACGTTACTTACCTTGCCTTACCATACCACACCCCACCTTCCCTCTCTCCTGCTCGTTGATCTCCCCCTCTATCCGCTTCAGGTCTCCAACAGTAGGCACCAGCTTTGCTCCTTTGAATTCCAGCAGAAATGGTCGGCCAGAACCGAGCATTCGTACCTGGAGGAATGAAGGAGGGGAGGGGGAATGAGTTGGTTGTTTTGGAATGAAAAAAAACCCGCACCACCATTGACATTCCAGCACGGCTCAGGGACCAGGGTTTTGGAAGGGGCATGTGATACAGAAGGGCACTTCTCAGTACTTTTCTTGCATTGCCTGTCAGAAGTGGACCTTAGGCAATGCAAGAAAAGGTGGAGGCTACTTTAGAGCGATGATCCTCTCGCTTTCGAGCCGCCGAAAAGAGAGACTTCGGTTAGGACTCATATTCGTCTCACTAAAGGCGCCTTAAGAAGAGCCTTCAGAAATGTGTGGATATCACTAAAGTAGACTTCAACTCATCGATGTACACTCGTCCGTCCCGCTGCTTGGAACAACCAGCTTTGGCGAGACTGGACAAATCAGAGAGAGACATTTTCTGAAGAGCCTTCTGACTGCCCTTTTGACTGCCCTTTTGACTGCCCTTTTGACTGCCCTTTTGGAGATCTCAACAACCCTCTATCACTTCATCTCACTCACATCGATGTCTTCTCGTCCGGCGGCTTGGAACTTGTGCGAGACAGGGTGGGTGAGCGGCAGGAGATGGGACGCTATGGCGTCCTGCACGCACGCATGCATGCATGGGTCCGGGGGGCATGTGGGAAGGAAGAGCAGCAGGACAACAGGACGTGTCTAGCAAAGCCCGCAGCAAAACTTGTGCAAGACAGGGTGAGTGAGCTGCAGGAGATGGGACGCTATGGCATCCTGCATGCATGCATGCATGCATGGGTCCGCCGCGTTAAAGAAGGAAGGACGAACAGCAAAATGACATGACGTGTCTGGCACGTGTGATAACTCCCTCCCAGGATAGGAACTTGTGAGAGACTGGATGGATAGAGGCAGGAGATGAGATGATTTGGCGTCCTGCGAGGCATGCACATGCACATCTGCATGCACATGCACATGCACATGCACATGCTCATACACATGCACACGGACATGCATAAACAAACAAGCATAAATAAATAACACAAGGGTATGCAAACACCAACACCCACCTCAGCGTGTACATCATCAAGAGCACCTGCATAAAACCGTCCTCCTAACCCTAAACCGAAACCATCCCCCATATAAGCACCTGAACCGAGCCATCCCCCATCTGCCCATCGTCCACCGTCCAAGGGGACTGGCTTAAAGCACGGGAGAACTGCCACGGAAGAGGAGGAGTGGGAAGGGGACGAAGGGGAGAGGCAGAAGGCGGAAGGTGGGTAGAGGAGGAGGACGAAGGGAGCCAAGGGGCGGTGAGTTCTAAGTCGCCTCAGACCGTACCTTGGTACGGAAAGGGAAATGGCGCACGCTGAAGCAACGGAGCCGAAGGGGATGGCGCACCTTGAGGCAAATTAGGTTTGAGAACGGCGCACCTTGAGATACTTTAGGTTTGAGGCGTGTCAACGGCGCACCTTGAGGTGTTCTAGGTTTGAGGTGTGTCAACGGCGCACGTTGAGGTATCGGCCACTAATGAAGACGGATTCCTGTAGCGTTGTCTCCTATTGAGGCGCCTCGACAGGATTTTTGAGGCGCTTTAAAACCGGACGCACCTTGAGGTACCGGCCAGCAATGTAGACGGATTCTCCTGGCGCATTTGTCTCTTCTTTGCGGTCACTCGCAATTGGCTCCTTACTCTCTACTAAGCGACGTCTCTCGGTATCTAAGCGAGGTCTCTTAGCTGCTGCCTCTGCAGTGGAGTCGCAGCGGATAGGGTCCCTATCCGTGCATAACCCTATTGGATCGGATTCTCCGCCTGCATCCCCTTTAAGCGCCTCTATTCCCCTCGTCTTCTCTGCTTCCGCCAAACCCGCGACTGATTCCCCGCCTGTGAGATCCGCCACCCGCGCTGCTGTCCGCGCTTCCGCTGATGCACTCGCTTCTGCCATCCTCAACGAGCCCCCCCACTTCTTCTCTATCCGAAGTAGGGATGAGTGAGCACATGCGGGAGTTCGATGATAAGATTGCTTACTAACGAATTCGTCACAAACGGGGCGGGAGGTTGGGAGGACGCGAAACATTCTGCAATTATGCCACTCCCCTGAGAACCACGGACAAGCCCAAATAAAGCACATTGCACTGTGCTATACCACATTCAAAATTCCGCATTCGTAGTCGAATTTTCCAGTGACTAGAGCTTTGCAACATGGTGGATGCTATTTACTCCTCCACTAATTCCTTTGTTGTGATGGTGTAAGGAAATGATATTTCCTTATCACGGGTTTTAGTCAGTAAGCGTACTCTGCTATAACAGAGTTGCCGCACGGCTCTGCCACGAAATTCAAATCGCGGCCCCAAATGTGGTCTCCTGACAAGCCGCATACAGTGATGCCCGCCTTGCTCTTTGCATGCCTAGAGCTGGGTGCTCCGTGCCATTTTACGAACCACACGTCGCTGCTCTACCGAGCCATGACCGTGTGCTCCTAAGCTAGCTATATCCATGCTCCCTGCTGTTTTGATGTAACTCAGTTGTATTGTGTCCTCGCTAATCAATCCTTCGACACACGCTCTTTGCGCTTCATTATACCTAGCCATCAGAGCCAATGATCCTCAGCATTGCGCACTAGTTCCGTTGCAATACCGACACTTAGGGAGGCTGACGCCCTGTGCTTACTGCATATCCGCTGTCCTAGTAATATTAATTGATAATTACCAACAGTCACGACTGTGTTCGCAGTGCTAGCGTGCCGAAAGCCGCCCAATTTTTTCCACAAAATGGTTGATATGTCGGCGTCTACCGCCACGACTCCAGAAGAAAGGGCGGCAGCACTTGACGAAGTCCGTCTGACTCACGAGTTGTACCAGCAGCAGTTGGCGTGTCTGCGAGCTGAAACGGCCCAAGCTGAATCTGAGATATCTGAACTTCAGAGTCGACTGCCTCAGACACGACACGACACGACACGATACGGCACGACACCAGTACACCGACGACAAATCAAGGACAACAGGAGCAATAAGTAACCCAGCAGCGTTCCGAAATACATGGCGACAATCAGCGACCACTTGCGGCTTCGCCCGAGGGATCGACGAACAACCCGCCACCGGTTATTGGACAAACGGAAATTGGCGAAAGTACGAATGTAAACCTGCCGCCCCCAATCACATCTCCGACAGGCCTGCAAGCTGCCAACATCAGCATGGTGCAAATAATTCTCAAGACGCCCAAGTTCGACTCGAGCCAGCGTGACAACTTGTCAGTCAACGGGTGAATTTTTCACCTGAATGTCTTTTACGACTACAACCTCATCATCAACGACGCGCAAAAAAACTAATATGTTGTGTCACTTCTACGTGGACCGGCTATGGATTGGTGGCAGCAGATAGTTCAGTCGCAGGAGCCGGATACGACGCCGCGCGTAATCGGGCGTTTTCACACGACCACTTAGGGTAAATTCCGCAGCGAGTATCAGACCCGAGGTCGACCCACGGCCGAAGGAGCCGCAGGTTGTCACAACCTAACTGCGGGTTTAATTTTCTTGAAAGTGCAGCAGCTGCATAGTCGCAAACTGTCACAAGGGGAGGGTTGCGACTATACTCGCCGAACTTTTCGAGTTCAACAGAAATTTGCGAAGTTATGATTGGTGGAAGTTCATTTGCGTGTCTTTGTTAGTTGTTCGGTTTGACAGCTGACTGCTGGAGCCGTCAGTTTTTCGCAAGACCCGAGGCAATTATTTTCCAGCCTCAGATCTTTCCGCTAAACCCTCGGGTCTAACACTCGCTGCGGAATTTACCTATATTGGGCAGGAAGTTATTGCGAGGTGGACGATGTCAACATATATATTGTATATATATGTGTGTATAGGCTATGTAGGTGTACTGCATATCTTGGATCCTACTGTAGAGGGTACAACGCCCCTTCTTGTATCCCTCTCTCTTCTAGTCCAGCCCTCTTCTCTCTCGTAACTTTCTCCTAGAAACTAAACCCTCACGCCAATTCCATGGCTTCTCTCCTAACCTAGCGTCTCGACATGGTACCAGAGCGGGTCCTTCTGCTCGGGCCTTCGCATCACGCTTCCGCAACACTCGCTCCTCCCTCCTATCCTTTCCGCACCGCCGCCATGGCCATGTCGTGCTGCAGTGACGGCGACGTCGTGCTACCGTGGCGGCGTCGACACGCCAGCGCACGGACGGCAGCGGCCAGCGCCCGCTCTTAGCGCTGGCCAGCACACCCGCATGCAGCCAGCGCGCCACACAGGGCGGCACGCTCCCTGGCTCCGCTTCTGAAGCCCCGCCCCCTTCCCCCGCGTCCTCTCTTCCTCGCCGCAGCTGACGGCTGACTCGCGCGGGCCTTCCCACTGTCGCGGAGTCTGGCCACGCCGCCGAGTCCTGCGAGCTCCGCCGCTGCCGTCGCTGCCGCCGTCGCCGCCGCTGCAGCCACTGCCCTCGCTGTCGACGTCGCCGCCTCGCACGCCGAGGGGTTGACCATGCTGGAGAAGCCGTCGCTTCTGCTGAGTATGGGGGTGCTAGGCTTAGGGGGTGTGTGGCTTAGTGTGCTGTGTGCGTGGTGCGTTTTCTTTTGACATGCATCACTACTAGAACCAGTGGACAGGCTAGTGGTACTTCCCTGGTCTATTCTCTGCGTATCGCCTACCAAGCCTAGGGGGTGAGTCAACATATATACTATATATATATATATGTATAGGCTAGGTAGGTGTACTGCACATCCTGGATCCTACTGTAGAGGGTACAACCCCCCTTCTTATATCCCTCTCTCTTCTAGTCCAGCCCTCTTCTCTCTCCTAACTTTCTCCTAGCACCTAAATCCTCACGCCATTTCCATGGCTTCTCTTCTAACCTAGCGTCTTGACAGACGAGTACAGCCTGTGGCAATCGTGGTGCGCGGGAATTCGTCGCCGCTTCGAACATGTCAACGCAAGCAGCCAAGCGTGCGGCCGCCTTCGCACTTGGCACCAACTCGGATCGGTCTAGGACTACACCAGCAACTTCAAAAGTTTATGCGACCAGGTCGGCTTTATTCACCCTGACGAAAAATTCGACAGATACATCGGGGGACTCCAACCGGATCTGCGCAGGGAAATACATATCAGGGAAATCACGGATTTAATGGAGGCGCAGAGGGCTGCGGAGCGGTTGAATTGATTCTTCAAGCCAATGGTGGGTTTCTATGACGGAAGTCGCACTCGGGGACCAATTGAGCATGCCACTCTACACGCTGTTACAACATCGAACTCAGTTGTTACAGCCTTCAAGGGTCACTGTTTCGGGTATAGCAGACTGGGACACCGCAAGTCAGAATGCCCAGAGGAGTGGAAGAAGAAGAATCAGGGGCAGGAGAGTTCCAGCGACCAGGGAAATGCTTAGTATCAGTAGATAACGGGCCTAGTACTGATGGAACCTGCTCGTCCGTGAACGATGACCCTTATCGAGTACTGGTACCGATCCACGCAATCGACCAAACTCGGCTGAATAAGGAGGGTGGAGCGGCGGATTACCCGATATATTTACCTCTGACTGGACAGCGCTTGAGCATTCGGGAAGCGGACGCAGTGGTGAGGGATGAGCGGTCGCGGGAACAAATAGCATAGGTGGTGTAAGAAGTGAGTGGGAAAGAGTAGAGAAGAGGCATGAGATGAAACGTATCCAAGGAAGGCGAGTGGAGAGGATTACACAAAAGACCATTGGTGGGTGAATTAGACAACAGGTAATAATGTTGAAAAATGCTGCAAAGAATAAGTCAAGGAAATGGGAAGAGGACATGTGGTCATACCGAGCAACATGACACGAGCTGTGACAGCTAGGGCGAGGGCGAGAAGCGAGCGGCCATGGCAATGATGATAGTCGAAGGCCGCAGGGATGAGGAGTAGCTCTATTTATAACATCTCAAATAGGAAATCTGTACATGGTATTCTTAAAAGATATGTTACACTTGTTAGTAGTAAGGACGGAGTCTAGGTGAACTTAGGAGCTCGAATGACTCAAAATATAAATCCAAAATTATGGACAGAAAAGGTGTGCCCACAAGAAACGTCGCCGACGAAAAACTATCACATGGAATTTTGCGAAACTCAAAAATGTCGTAGCCCTCAATCTTAGCTACCGCTCCCAATTCGAATCATGTTGATTGATGGAGTATTCGCGATGCTATGAATTTCGACGCACAGAGGGTATGCTGTAGGAGAAGAACTTAACTCAATCTCAAACTTCAATCAAGGTTCAAGAATCTCATAAGGAATTAGAGGAGCAAGGAAGAGGTTGGAAGAGAAGAGAGGGATGAGAAGGAAGGTCCCCAGAGAGTCCCCAACCAAGGAAACCCCATAAGCACAAAGTTTCCCTCCCAAAAGGAACCCCAACTTTGACATTTGTCACTTTCCAACCAATCCAACCAAGTTGGCCACCCTTGCCACCCTAGTTTGGTTGTTCTCAACCAATTTTCCACTGCTACAGTAGAGTGACGAATCTCCGCAACCCCCAGTGGTCCCCAACTCTATATTGAGTCACCCCACAACTTCACTCTGTAACTGCCACAATTATAACGCAAGCTCATGAACTTTGAATCTTCATAGCTTTAGCGTTCTTGCTCCGATTGAAACGATTCTTGTTGCGTCTGAAAGATCTTCTTAATCACAAATACGTGTTCTAACAAAATAACACAGAACGCATTCCCACACTCTAGAACACACCACGCATAAATGATTGCACACATTCAAGCCACACATGCCAGTTGAAAACATGGGATGGGAGGCAGACAAAATATGATAGCATATGATGAGGTCACACAACAATCTCCCCCTCTAGCTGCCAACCATCATCTATCATACCACATCTCAAGCTTGCATACTCAATGCACACTCATCCCGACAAGCTTCATGCCCTTCCAATGATCCGCCTCCACAAGACGCTTAGTGAAAATATCTGCTGCTTGCTGATGGGTCTTCACTATCTCCAGCCGCACCTCCTTATCAAGAAGTTTTCT